TGTGAAATTACAACACTGGGCTCTTGCCAAAAACATACAACTCAGAACTCTACCATCTAACTCTTACAAAAAATCCAGTAACAAAAACAACAGCAACAATGATATTTATGGAGGATTGCCCACAGGACATGCAGCTTATCCATTCCTATACACAATCTAACCTTCTCCCTCAAAGAAGCCTGGCCTGTGATTGCTGTATTCGTGGAGGATTCTGCCTTGGCCCGTGGCAGAATGTATCCTGATTCTGAGCTCTTGACCTGCACCAAGGGGCATTGTAAGAAACAGCAGGTGTGAGTCACCATGGCATCTCAGCAGAGACACCATCCAGGATGTCATCTACTCCGGGGAGAATTCCCCCTCATTGCTCATCCCTATATCAGGAAAAGCTAAGCATCTTAAAAACTAATTTTATTTCAGAAACAATGTCATTGCCTTGTTTGATCTGGCTTCAAGGAAGATCAGAGTCTATTATACCTCCCTCAGTTGTAAAATACCTTACAAAGTCATCAGCAGCACAGAAGTATTGAGCTCATAGTATGTGGTAAGCACATTTCATGTAGTCCTTCTCACATAATCCTCACACAGCCCTGTGGGGTAGGTAATATATTCTCACTGTTGATATTAGGCTAAATAATGCTCTCCAAAGATGGCTTCATCTTAACCCCTGGAACCTGTGAATGTTATCTTACGTGGCTAAAGAGACTTTGCAGATGTGATTAAGGATCTTAACTTAGGGAGATAATCCTAATCACGAGGGTTCTTATAGGAAGGAGGCAGAGGAAGCTTCGAAACAGAACAGGAAGGCCATGTGATGACGGAAGGAAGCAAGATGCTACACTGCCAGCTTTGAAGATGGAGAAAGAAGCCCCAGGCCGAGGAATGCAGCTCTACAAGCTGGAAAAAAAAGAAATGGATTCTCCCCCAAAGCTTTTAAGGGAGCAAGGCCCAGGCCCTGCCAAAACTTTCACCCAGTGAAATTGATTTTGGACTCTGACCACAGAACTATGAGTGAATACATGTGTTGTTTTCAGCCACCAAATAGAAACTTGTTACAGCAGCAACAGGAAACTAATACACCATCCTTACAAACAACAACGTGAGATCTAGAACGTTGCCCCAGGATTTGAATGAGCTTTGCTGACTCCAGATCCTAAGCTCTTACATGTCTTGCTGCCTCATCTGTTACATGTGTCCTAACCTGTCCTGCCTTTTATGATTTCCCCTTAGCCAGCTCAGGTAGGTTTAGCAAATTATATAGACCGAGGGACTTAAACAGCTAACACTGATTTCTCAGAGTCCTGGAGGCTGGAAGTCTGAGACCAGGGAGCCACCAGGGGCAAGTTCTTGGTGAGGGCTCACTTCCTTGTTTACAGACAGCCACCTTCTCCTTGTGTCATGTGGTGAAAAGAGAGGGAGATCTCTGGCCTCATCTTTTTTTCTTTTTTTGAGATGGAGTTTTGCTCTTGTTACCCAGGCTGGAGTGCAATGGCACGATCTCGGCTCACCGCAACCTCCACCTCCTGGGTTCAGGCAATTCTCCTGCCTCAGCCTCCCGAGTAGCTGGGATTACAGGCATGCACCACCATGCCCAGCTAATTTTTTGTATTTTTAGTAGAGACGGGGTTTCACCATGTTGACCAGGATGGTCTCGATCTCTCGACCTCGTGATCTACCCGTCTCGGCCTCCCAAAGTGCTGGGATTACAGGCTTGAGCCATCGCACCCGGCCTGGCCTCTTCTTTTAGGGGCACTAATATCCCATTTATGAAGACTCCACCCTCATGACCTAATCACCTCCTAAAGTCCCCACCTCTTAATACTGTCATATTGGGATTAGAGTTTAACATGAATCTTCAGGGGACACAAACATTCAGTCCATAGCACTTTCCCTTATGCTTCCCCTCACCTTGCTTCTCCTGCTGCTGCCTGTTTCTCCTTCCAATCACAAGTATTTCTGTCATCTCCTCATATCTTTGTGAATATGCTAGAGGTAGCATGTAAATAAATACATTGGTGGGTGTTTGTGGCGTGTGCATGGGGTGGGGCCCCTGGGCTTCAGTAACCTTGAGACTCGTGATTTAGCAAACCCAAGGCCCCTGCCTGTGTTCATTCCCCTTTTGCTTTAGTAAAGACAGTGGCTCTCTTCTTTCCTGTGTCACTGGCAGTTGGCCAGGGCGGGACTTCCGCTTTTTCAGAAAATTATGCTTACTTCCTAGTTTGTATTCAAAGCCCAGTAACTGCTTGTGAAGTTTCCTTTCTCCTCAAGGTTATCAAGACTGCATAAATGGTGACAACTCAGGCCTTAGTGGTTTCTTCCTGAGTTATTGCTCTGCCTGGATAAAACCCTATTTTTAGCCTCAGATAGCTTCCAATTCAAAATCTGCACTCCTGTTTACTGCCCAAGGATCTTTCCCAAATGCAATTTCCTCCTGGCCAAAGGGACACGGCCCACCCTTATCTGGGGTCCTGCTCGTATCTCCCACTTCCTCTTTTAGCCCTTTGTGTCTTCAGCTCTCCTGCAGATCCCTGAACCCTAAGCCTGGTCCCATCTCCCAGCCTTCATGCATGTCGTTCTCTCTGCCAAACTTCTTCTCCCCTCACCCCTCCTTTACTCCGCTTTGCCTGCTGATGAAACTGTAGACTTCAGGGAGTTCTGGAGCATGGGCTCTGGAGTCAGGCAGGCTGGGGATCAATTTGTTTTAATTCTATAAATAGTTTCTCAATGGCTTACCTTATCTGTGACCCTGGGGATATAATTCTGCCACTATTAGCTGTGTGGTCTTGGAAAAGTTATCTATTAATAACATCCCTATCCCTCAGTTTACACATCTGCAAGATAAGAATGATGTGTGTAAACCACTTAGCATGGTGGCCTCCACCAACATGAGATGTGATCATTATTATTTTCATCAGTCTTTAAGCTTCAGCTTAGGCTTGGTGACTCCTTCCCCAGCAGATTCAGATGCCAACCTCACCATCTTCTGACTACCATGTCCCCTGGTGCACAATGCCTACCTTCACCAAAGCCCTTCACACAAAGCATTTACCTTGTTGCTTAATTGTCTGAGCCTCCCACTACACTTGGGTGAGAACTGCCTCTCTTCCATCCCTTATTCTGAGTGCCTGGAGCAGGGCTTGGCTAGGACGTTCACTGACTCCATGGAGCAACTTCACCTACAGAGGAAAGAGTCATCCTCAGACGGGCAGGTGATGTGTCCTTGCTCTTTCCCTGACATGCCCAGTCCTCTCGCCAGTGACTTGAAAGGATGTGCGAGCCTGGCTGCAGGCAGAGGGTGAGTCTGGGAGACAGATCAGCCATGGCAACCTTTTATGCAAGGATGAACTGGAAAAACCAATCCTAACCAGTCCTCATATCACATTCTGCTTCTCATCCTGCACCTAAAATGACTGGGATATTAGTGATCCTGACCACATGGGAAAACTGAGAGTGACAAGATCAGCACTTCCAGCATCCAGCCATTCATCCTCTTTAACTTATTTAAAATTTTTTGTGTGCACTTCAATGTCCCTTCTTTTTAAAAGAGTAAGGCCAAATTGAGCAAATGGCCCAGCTGACCAGAGTGACCATCTGGACCTCTCTGGGTGGCAGTCGTAGGATCAGCTACTTGCTCGAGCACTGCATCCTTGTCACTCCCCAGCTTAGAGTGGGGCCAATTCGGATGCTTAATCAACTTCTCTTTCCCACTTCCTGCAGTTCAAATGTCATTTTGCCCCGCCTCCCTCCAAAGTGACAGATATCACAATGCCATGCGTTTGTACAAGCCAGTCCCTCTAACAGCAGATGTGATCCTGAGGCTGGGCTCCTGAGTTGCTCCCCACTTGGGAGCCCTGTATGGGATGAATTGCATCCCCTCAAATTTATGTGTTGATGTCCCAACCCCCAGTACAGTAGTGCCCCCTTATTCAAGATTTCACTTTCTAAGGTTTCAGTTACTCTCAGCCAACTTCAGTCCCAAAATATTAAATAGAAAATTCCAGAAATAATTCGTAAGTTTACATTGAGCATCCTTCTGAATAGCATGATGAAGTCTCGTGCTGTCCAGCTCCATCCCACCAGGCACATGAATTCTCTAGAGAATCCACATTGTCTCTACTAGCTGCCTGTCCATCACTTCATAGCTGTCTCATTTATTGGATTCAAAAAACATAGTATATGTAGGGTTCAGAATGATCTATGATTTCAGGTAGCCACTGGGAGTCTTGGAACATATTCCTAGCAGACTAGGGGGACTGCAGTACCTTAGAATGAGACTGTATGTGAAAATAGGATCTTTTTTTTTTGAGACAGAGTTTCATTCTTGTTACCCAGGCTGGAGTGAAATGGCTTGTTCTTGGCTCACTGCAGCTTCTGCCTCCCGGGTTCAAACGATTCTCCTGCCTCAGCCTCTCAAGTTGTTGGGATTATAAGTGTGCGCCAACACATCTGGCTAATTTTGTATTTTTTGTAGAGATGGGGTTTCACCATGCTGGTCAGGCCGGTCTCGAACTCCTGACCTCAAGTGATCCACCTGTCTCGGCCTCCCAAAGTGCTGGGATTACAGGTGTGAGCTACCATGCCCTGCTGGAGATAGGATCTTTAAAGAGCTGATTAAGCTAAACTGAGGCCATGAAGGTAGGCCCTAATCTCATGTGACTGTGTCTGTATCAAAAGAAGAGATGAGGACACAGATGTGCACAGAGGGAAGACCACGTGAGGAGACACGGAGAAGATGCCACCTACAGGCAAAGGAGACATGCCTCAGGAGAAACCAGTGCAGCCTCCAGAGCTGTGAGGAAATAAATCTGTGTTATTTAAGTCTCCAGTCTGTGGTACTTTGTTATGGCAGCCCTAGCTGACTTAGACACAGGCTGATTGGTTGGTTCTGACACTTCTTACCGCAGTTCACTGCATTCTCTTCACTGAATTGCAATTTATCTGTTGGCATTTGGGTTGGTCCGCTGAGGTGACAGGCCTGGCTTACGCACTTTTATTATCTCTAGCACTGAGAAACCCTGGCACCAGTAGGTGCACGTGAAGTGTTTGCTGAATTCATGAGAGCTGCTGCAGTCCCGGAAGCTCTGAGAGTGTCCGGAGAGGGACAGGAATCTTCTCTTTCGGCAGAAGTCACCTTTTCACTCCACTTGCGAAGGGCATCACATGGAAAGACAGCCCAGGTATACAGTGTTGGGGAAGGGCCTACTGGAAGCTTCTTTTCCTAATTTTCAACTGGTGAGATTTGATGATTTGGTAGACTCACTGATCATTTTGCTCTTTTTTGGGTTCTCTGGTGTCAGTAAATTGCTATATTTAGATTCAATCTCTCTTTCTTGTAGTCTTTGTCGCTCTGCCATTCTCTCTTCTGCTCCTGGCCCCACCCCTCTTCTCCCAAAGGCTCCCAGTGGCCCTCCCACACCTGCTGCAGGTGGAGAAAGTGTTCAGCTGCTCGTCACCTCTCCCCTTACCCACCCCAACCGAGCACTAGCGGCTCACATCTGTGGGCCTAACTTTCCCCACACACACGTGGCTGTACTGCGAGGTCTTACCGCAACTCTGGTAGAGCACTTCCAAGCCGCTGTCACTGCAGGCCATGTGTGTGGGCCAGGCTCCCCCTCCGCCGCCTCCACGGCAGCTGGGAGAAATCAGAGTCCAGAGGAGGAGAGCGACTGTGAAACCCTTCATGGTGAGGGCTGGTATGAAACACACAGAAAAATAACAGGCCAATAAAAAGGCCGTAAAGGTTCTTCCTTTACCCTCAGGAAGGCAGTGGCATGTTCAGTTTCACTTCTCAGATTTTAGGCTCCCCGGGAACCACACTCAGACGTAGAAGGCAGTGAGCAGAGGCATTTGAATTACTGCTCCCTCAGGACCTTGAATCTACAGATGAGGCTGTTCTGGTCTGGGGTAGCATGCGTGTTGACTCTCCGCTTTCAAAGGGAAAGGGTCAGTAGCGATGCATGAACTTACCTCTCGGGGACCCTCAGAACAGCCTCCACCCTCAGGTGAAGTTGTAAACTTGGGAAAGACGAAGCGCAGGCCACCATCTGTTTCCCATCTCCACACCCCGTGTCTCTATAGGCTCCTGATGCAGGCTGTGTACGGACCAGGGACCCAGCGGGAGCCAGCAGGCAGCGGTTGATAGCATGAGGGCTGCAAAATATGGAATCTGGAGTGACGCTTTGGTCTTATTCTCATTTTCCTCTCCTCTGGCTTTGGTTCTGCTGTTAGGGTTGGGATTCCAGCAGTGAACTGTCCTCCTGCAGACCAGACCTCGTTTTGGGAGCTGCAGATGTGGTCTCTGGAGATGAGGCAGAGGCAGTAGCCCTGAGGACTGAGCCATGTTCTATTTCTGGGTTTGGCTTGGTGGAAAAAGCAGGAAGGTTGGGGAGGTGGAGCCACCCTTAATGAGGTTGGTTTAATGGTTTTGGTCATTAGTGGGGTCATCGCACTTTCTCTTCAAAGCCAAGACTTCTGTTCTCTTCCTTCCCTGTATCTCCAGAGACCACATCTGCAGCTCCCAAAATGAGGTCCTGCTAATACCATCACCTTGAGGCTTAGGATTTCAATATATGAATTTGGGTGGGGGCACAAACATTGGCTTTATTGCAGAAACCATGTCATCTGGAGACAGAGCTACAGATTTTTGAGATTCAAAAGACCTAGAAATGAAAGGAATCGTAATTCAGGGATTGCACTAGCATTTAGAAATACTCAGTATGGACTGGGCACAGTGGCTCACGCCTGTAATCCCAGCACTTTAGGAGGCCAAGGTGGGTGGATCAAGAGGTCAAGAGATTGAGACCATCCTGACCAACACGGTGAAACATCATCCCTACTAAATATACAAAAATTAGCTGGGTGTGGTGGTGTGTGCCTGTAGTTCCAGCTATTTGGGAGGCTGAGGCAGGAGAGTCACTTGAACCTGGGATGGGGAGGTTGCAGTGAGCAGAGATTGCACCACTGCACTCCAGACTATGTAAAAAGAGAAGAAAAGAAAAGAAAAGAAAATAAATATTCAATATGGACCAATCAGGAACCTTGTGGGCATGGAGACCCTAGGACAGTGGTCTTCAGGCTAGAGTGGTCTTCAGGGCATCAGCATCAGCTGAGGGGCTTGTTAATACACAGATTGCTGGGCCCCACCCCAGAGTTTCTGCTTCTGCGTATCTGGTGAGGCCTGAGAACCTGTGTTTCTAACATGTTCCCAGGTGATACCAGAGCTGCTGATCTGGGGCCACACTCTGAGGATCTTTGGTTCAGCTTACAGAATTTGGCCTTTTGCAGAATGTACAATTAAAAAAAATCTTCTCAATGAAATATTTTGTTTTTATGACAGATGGCATTTTATGTAACACATATATAACACACCCATATAAGATAAAAGAGTAAGCCCCTTTCTTGAAGGAATTCTACTTACTCGTTCTGCCTACTGAAAATGGGATTCAACTGAAATCATTAGTTATGGCCCATCTAGTTCAGAAATCAACCCATAAAGATGTCTTGAAGAGTTCTTTAATTAGAACCTTTATAAAGACATCAAAGTGTTCTTTGAGAATGTCCTGTTCCCTAACTATAGAATAAAATTAGAATTGATTTATGATATTTATTTAAAATATGGTTATGTCTATGTAATGGTAACCAAATATACTGCCAGGCTTTGATGCTGACCTCTAATCTCTTAGCAAGCTGTGGCTGAAGAAAGCTGTGCTCTGGTCACATTCAGATTTCTAGTTTCTGGACAATCCTCCTCTTCTTCCATGTCTCATGCTGCTCTCCTGCATATCTATATTTTTATTTTATTTTATGAGATGAAGTCTTGCTCTGCTGCCCAGACTACAGTGCAGTGGTATGATTTGGGCTCACTGCAACCTCTGCCTTCTGGGTTCAAGTAATTCTCCTCTCAGTCTCCCAAGTAGCTGGGATTACAGGCATGTACCACCATGACCGAGTAATTTTTGTATTTTTAGTAGAGACAGGGTTTTTTCATGTTGGCCAGGCTAGTCTTGAACTCCTGACCTCAGGTGATCTACCTGCCTTGGCCTCCAAAAGTGCTGGTATTACAGATGCGAGCCATTGTACTCTGCCTTGTTTTCCTTTTATAGAGGTCTTCTTGGGGATGATGTCTTTCTTTTCTTGCAGAGTAAAAATACTTTTTTTCAAGATGACCATCTTTAAAGCTGTTCTTAAGGAGAAAACTTATGTTTGAGGAGAGACTTAAAGAATCAAAAATGAGACTCAAGCAGGAAACCAGCTATGTATGTAAGCAAGTAAGGGTGAGGCTGCACCACAAGAGAAAATACAATACTCCAGGGAGTGAGGGGAGAAAAAAGAAAGGAGTGGAGGGAAGGGAGGAGAAGAGAGGAGGAGAGGAGGGGAGAGAAGGGGTAAGCAGGTCAATGGCTTGTGTGGAGTTGAGGGAAGCAGCCTGCCAGCAGGTGGGACAAGCAAAGATCCCTTAGGAACAGATTCTGCATTGCTTACTGTGCAGTGTGCAATGTGATGGCCCTGTCCACTCTGTGACCCACAGAAGTTTTGAGGAGACTTACATGGCCAGAAATGCTCTATATGTGTGTGTGTACACACACAGGAGAAAAGGCCAGAGCTTCATGCTTGCATCAGTGTGGTGTGTAATAGAGGTGAGGGCTGTGGGAATACACCCATCTTGGGAAAGTGATTCAATATCTGGGTGGGCATCCCACTTCCCTTGGACATGGGAAGGGGATTTGGACTAATATAATCTACATTACATGTGCCAGTAGATGGCAGATAGTCCTAACTATTCTTTGATGATGTAGCACTCTGTCTCCAGTGGCAAATGTGCCTTCCTCATTGTTTGTATTCAACTACTGCTGCTCTCTTCTAATTTCCCTCAGATATTTATTATATTTGGCAAAAATTTCACTTTGCATAGCACCATTTCTCTGCCTTTTTTTTTCTGTGTCCTGTCTCAGTTTCTGCCACACTGCAGTGGGAAGAGGCAGGCTTGATCACATCCTGCTTTTGTCTTCTATATTAGGGGTCCCCAATCCCTGGGCCACAGACCAATACTGGTCCGTGGCCTCTTAGAAACTGGGTGGCACAGCAGGGAGTGAGTGGCGGGTGAGTGAAGATTCATCTGTATTTACAGCCTCTCCCCATCACTCACATTACCACCTGAGCTCTGCCTCCTGTCACACTTCTTGTCAGATCAGTGGCGGCATTAGATTCTCATGAGAAAGCAAACCCTATTGTGAACTGCACATGCAAGAGATCTAGGTTGCACACTCCTTATGAGAATCTAACACCTGATGATCTATCACTGTCTCCCATCACCCCCAGATGGGACCGTCTAATTGCAGGAAGACAAGCTCAGACCTCCCATTCATTCTGTATTATGGTGACTTGTATAATTATTTCATTATATATTATAATGTAATAATAATAGAAATAAAGTCTACAATAAATGTAATGCACTTGAATCATCCTGAAACCATCTACCATCCACCCTCCTATCTGTGGAAAAGCTGTCTTCTATGGAACTCGTCTCTGGTGCCAAAAAGGTCAGATACTGCTGTTCTAGACTGAGTGCAACCTGAAAACTGCTCCCCTCCTGTGTAGAAGTCAGGAAACCCTGGCACTTCCTGTGTAACACTGTTTCACAGACCCCTTGGCTGACTGCTGAGGTTTTACACTTTAGCGAGTTTCAAACCCTTTGTTATACAGTCTGCACAAATATTTTGTAGAATTGGTACTAAGCTTTTCAGTAGAGTCTTTCTCATGATCTCTCAGATTTCTGGAAGACTCACCCCACAGAAAGTGTGAGGTGCTTTCAAAGTCCCTTGGGCTCTTGATGTCCTATATTCTGTGTATATATTTGATAGAAACGTATAGAAACCAACTGTATGCTTTCTACACAACTAGGAAAAATTCATCTGTCTACTTGCTTCAGATTCTCCCACTCATTTATCCAACAAATATTTATTAAGCACCTCCAAAATGCCAGCTACTGTTCCCAGCACTAAGAATACAGCAAAACAAAGTTTCTGTTCTCATGGAGATTACCTTCTAGTGGGAAAAGACAGACAATAACATTTTCAGTACAATCGTTTAATAAAAGAGAAGAGACTTTGTTTTTTGAAAAACTTCTTGGGTTTCACATGGAAAATTGGAGTAAGCTTTCTGAAATATTTTCAGCTGGCTGCTTTTTGTGTATACAACAATAAACTATTTTACTTTCATTTGCTTCAGACTGGTAACTCATCAGGGTAACTTACCAGGGTTTGCTCCAATGGGGAAAGTGTAGCAGGCCTATCTGGGACACTATCCTTTCCTCATTTCCTTGTTGTCCCATTTGTTAATATTATTAATATTTCATTATTCTGAGGACATACTATGCAAAGTAATTGGTTTTCAAATAAGTCTACATAGACTATGGCAAACCACAAACAGAAATGATTTCTGTTGGTGTGAGGGTCACGTACGCTGGGCCAGGAAAGAGGTGAACGCTTATAGATCAGTTTGATCAATTTTCCGTGATGAGAAGAGCAACGCATTGCAGCATCTGATTAAGGTAGAAGAAGTTGATCTGAGCTGCAGAGAGGGGAGCTCTAGCAGGAAAGGGCTGATGTCCATTGTATAAAAATCCTCTGCAGCATGGGACGAATTAGCAATTTGTAGCTACGACTCTGCTCTTCAAACTGAGAATGCTCTCAAGATCTCATCTTGATAAGATTGAAGTTATTTTAGTCAGCTGAAGGAAAGACACTGGGGAGGGAACCAAAAATGGGATGAGGAATGCA